TGAATTTTATAAACCGAGCAGTACAGATCAATCCCACTTCATAGGAGAACCAGACACCGTGTAGGCTTTAACGCTACAACCTGAGTAGTACGGCTCAATCCTGTGGTGCAACCACACAGTGCCAAGTACCCTGGTGGACCATTCGCACCATTCATATACGACACATTCAGATCACATGTATAGTTATTCCGATCAATGATCGCGTTAATCAATTATGCACAGCACGAACAGGCCAAAGTTGACCTATTCCGCTTACACGACAGTTAAACTCATTAATGTTAGCAATGGTGACATGTTCCATTGACAATGACCCTCGAGAACACTGAGAAGCAACCACCAGTATGAATGAAATCGGTAAACCAGAAAACCAATTTTGTGCATGAACAGTCAGCAAAACTTGCCAAAGCAATACCGAATCATCCACAATACCAATGACGAACCTCCAGCCTCATATGAGACCTTCAGCTCTACATAGCCATATCGCTTCTCGGCTCTCTGAGCTAAGATCATGTGTGTGTTTAACTAATTTACAGTATATTATTTATTTAAAAAAAAAACAAATTGGATTTTGAGATGGTGGAGAAGATTTGTAGCTCAGAGAACAAAACTCCATCAAAACAAATTGGATTCACTTATTTCGGTAATTTAGTTCAAGGTCTAGTAAAACATGTTATAAAGTGAAAGATTTTCAAATTCATTTCACAAACTTCTCATTTACTATACACTAATATATCTTTGCATCTGTAGATGAAACAAACAACCATAACTTGCTATAACCAATAAACAATGTGGAGAAATGATGTCAAATATAACTTTCTATGTAGATTGACAGGTAGTTATAAAAAACCTAAATCAATCAAATAAAGGTTACTGGACAGAAGTTAATCAGTTTGAAACAACTCTGCACTACATATTATTAGTTGACCAATCCCAAAGAAAGGAAGAGAGACAGTAATTACGAAAAGCGTACAACTATGTACTAGTTCAAGCCGATCCATTATTTAAAATGATAAAGCAGAAATATATTAAAATGAAGAAGATAAGTATGCTCAGACATAAAAGAAAGGATATTGAGATTTTAGAGGAATATAAAAGATGAATAAAATCTTCAATTTCAAACAAATTATACCTGATACATTGAAGACTTCAAATGATAGCCAAAACAAATGGCTTCACAGATTGAAAACGCATTTCAATCAATCCAATCCTAGCCACTTTCTGACTTATCAACTCATCAGAATCGTAGGGATAGTCATAAGAGGGGATTATCGTGTGTTAGAAGAATATTACCATTTAACCTTAGTTGACGTATTATCGTTAGGAAATTCATGATCAAATAGTTTCTGACCACTATGGAGGGCAACAGGAGCGAAAAAAAGAAATGATGAATATCATTGATATAATGGACTGATCAATGTTAGACCAGTATAAGGAACGTAGAAGCAATAAATGGCAGTTTCGTCCTAGTAGGAGACTCCTCAACAGTACGCAAACACGATCCCGCAGGTGGAACTCAAAGACAGAGTATTCGGTTTCGCTCAAACACTTAACTCCTAGACCACTGGGCCGGTATTTAATAGTGTTAATGTTTAATCTCGAACAATCCACGATATTGCGCTACAATCTCCCACTGTCTTTGGTGGGTAAATTCCTCACACACGAGTCTAGCTCCATTGGTCATGCTTCTCACTAGAACCCTGGGAATTCCCTCTTGAAGCTAGTCACTAATTAGAGAACGATAATTTTCAGTATGACGTTGAGGAGATTGTTGAATTTAATCGAAATCATGAACCTGTCAACCATCTACACCCATTTACACGACTAAGTCCAACTGTCGAGGCTTTCATGGATTGATGGATCGAGCTTACTTTCAACCTGCTACTACAGAAGATCGCTTGTCGAGGTAAGTGTTGATCAGGCATATATACATGTCCCAACCACCTCAGTTGAAGATTCACTGCCTTACCGATCGACTTTCCATACTTACATCGTACTTTAAGCCTAACCTTGACATTACTCACTCGGTGGTCCCAAGATACACAGGCGATGCTCCAAAGACACCTATGATCCAATACAAGTATCTACAAATATTCTCTATTTTTAATAAGCATGCAGAACAAAGAGAATTGGTGAGCAGTAAACTCGTCCTTTTGTTGATAGGTATTTAACTTAAGTGACAAGTGATGCGAGTTGGCGAAGGCTAATCGAGCCCTCTGAATCCAAGGTGTGACAACACTTGTGTCAGCTACAAAAACACTTGACATACCACTTCCATATTGCATAGCTCGATATTCCTTCATCAGGTAACACGTCTTCAAGAGATATAACTGAGTGTAACAGCTACATGAAGCACTCAAAATACAAATCGAATTCGAGTGCATTTGAGACATTGACTACGTACTAGAGAGAATAAGACTTCCGAGTCACACAATTTAAATAACCAGTTCCAAATAAAACCCCCTTCTTCACTTGTCTACTTTACTCGAAAAAACAATGTTTTATAAGTAAAAAAGAGGTTTTCAATTATTTATAATTTCCCATCCGTTCTTTTCCCTAGTTTTGTGACGCCTAATCCTGGTATGATACTGCTTGATGGAATATGAAAGTTTAGTAATAATTCATATATTTCGAAACATTTTGAGAGCTATGTCATCATCACTCTCCATAATGTATTCAAAAGATGAGAAACTTACAAAGACATTTTTAGCTTAAGGGCGGTTTCGTATATCTAGACTTATCATTGAATAAGTTAAAAATGATCCACAAACCTATTTAAGACCTTAACTTCATATAAGAGCGTCATGTTATCCATAGAGGACACAAAATGTCTATAATCTTTATAATCATCAATCACATCGTGATAGCATGGTCAATACTATCAAATACCCAGGAAATTCATGAAATAAAATGTAGATTATGTAAGAAGTAAAGTCTACGAGTTTCGTTGGGAGGTTATATATTTGAGGTATGCATTATAAATATATTAATGTGATGATATTCAGTTATATATAGAGGAGAGCCTGGCACATGTGCTTCCGTATAAGTTGTCACCCTAAATCAGTACAGAGGGATGAAATTAACAAGGCATTCCATGGTATTAACAGTATCAGTGGAAAACAATAAATATAGACGATCCGAGAATAAATTCATGGGAGTAAAACGTATATGATAGCAAAACTCAGGATTTAAGAGAACACAAGGAGTGAATGCATCTATGACATTGCGACTTATTCTGATCAATGTCAGCCATCTCCAACGATAATTGTGATGTCATAAAACTTTGCCGTTAGATGGTTTGGACGCCTATTATATATCAACTCAAATGCATAATGATTAATGGTCTAACCAGTTGGAAGTCAGAGACAAACAAACAGGAAACTAGGCTGAGTCGTGTCGATATGTGCAGGATAGACATGATTTTAAATCATAGATTATCTGAGATGGAACAAAAGTCACTCTAGTAAACCAGTTTCATTTATGCTGTATCTACCTGTAAATCTTTTTTTTTAAAATCATGTGATTTTTTGATCTTATTTGTTTGCACGATAAATGATCATACTAGAAAGAAAACTCAATCTAATTATGCAACTGTGCGCTGATGTATACATTAAGTCATCTTCAACAATTTGTCATGATCAGTAAAATCAACCACATGCACTTGAAATACCTTTCTCAAACAATAGTACTCATACTTATATTGTTAAGTTGTTGCAAATCTTAAGATGTATAGTTATCTCAACTACAGTTTGTTTACTGATATTGAACATTGTATATCTGAAAATTTCCTAAACAGAGTATTAAATGTTCATTTACACAACTCTTAAACTAATATGATTAAAAAAACATACAGCTATTGTATTTCGTCATCAATGACTTTTATGTTATAAATTATAGGAAACTGGCTTATAGTACATGACGTAGGATAATTTCTAGTCTAATAATGTATTCTATTTAATACACAACTAAAACCCTAGACTTAATTTTTTTTTCTTAAATACCTGACAAATCGTTCAATAAACACTCCAAAAGTATGACTTACATTTCAGGTCAATTAGAATTCAGCGCATGAAGGTAAATTATCAGTATTGATTTCTTGCTCAAACTGTATAAACAGAACAATTACTAGATAATAAAAACTTATGTGAAAAATAGGGTTTTTGTGGATATTATAGTAATTAATATCAATAGTTGACATCATGAATCAATTGAATCTAAATTACTATGGAAAATCTGAAAACACTAAACGACCGTTTCGTCCTACTATGAGACTTCTCAATAGTGCGCATCCACCTTGTGAGATTCGAACTCAGGACCTATTGGTCTTGTACACGAATGCTTAACTTCTAGACCACTACTGAACCAGTATCCGATGGTGTTAATATCATGATAATAAAGACGAATAAACTGAAGTACTTTATACAACACGTGATTGAACATTTCCCTGTAAATAAAGTTCACTTAGACCTTATAATGAACACTGTACAACAGATATATATATTGCTTGACGATTAACATTCCTAAAGAAAACAAAAGTGAATGCAACAATAAAATAGAAACATATAAATGATTAGAAATAAAAGTTGACATTAATCATAATATTAATGACAATATATAATATATATTGTATTAACAATAACAAAACAAATATACATTTAAAGTTTATATATAATAAATACAAACATGTATAGATTATATACAACATCAATTAAATAGTATAACATAAGTGGACAGTAAATATAGATAGATAGATTTTTTAAAAAAGTAATAATAATAATAAAAACGAGATAAATTACAGTAATATTGTAATAAGAATTAACATAAAACCAAGAATGAATAAGTTAACTAACAAATAAACATTAGTATTGAATTGTATTGGTAAATGTTGTTGCTATAGGGATTTCATTAATACTAATACTACTACGAATAATAATAATAATAATAGTGGTAGTAATAATAATAATAACTATGATAATAACAAGTGATTTAAAAAAATATATATTGTACTCTTTGAATGGAATAAGGATAATGGATTGTTCCTTTGAATAAATAATACATTAAACATAAATACATAAAGGTGTTAAAAATAGGTCGAATTTTATTTTGGTTATTTATGAATTAATGAATAAAATCATTATTTATTTTAATAGATTATTTTTTCTTGAACGAGTTTGACGAATTGAAACTGGTGATTGTTTAGATTGAGATGATTTTGATGCTATTGACCTATTAGTAGGAGTGGTCTTTAATTTGGATTTATTAGTGATTTTAGAAGTTGATATTTTTTCTTCAATTGGTTTACTTATTACTGAATTAGTAGTTATTAACTTACGGGAACGAAGAACACGTTTTTTTGGTGAAACATTAGCTATATTATCAATAGGTATAACAGAAGTGCGTTTAATACGTCGTGAATTTGTTTTAACCTTCGATGTAATATTTTTAGATTCATTAGTTGAAGTAGTTGGAAGTACCTTTGATTTTGAAGTGATTAGCTGTTTACGGTTTTGAGCATTATTTGTTTTGGTACCATTCCTCTTCTTCACCTCACCAGGTTGGTTTTTCACAGGTAAAGAGCTTTCTTCATTTTGTGTGTGTTCAGATGTTACACATTTAATATCCAACTGATCAACTCTACTCCGTAGACGTTTGGCCAATGGAACACTGGAAGAGACTCTACGAACATCAGCTAGTCTCTTTATAGATTTTTTTGAGGTGCAGTTGTTTGCAGACTTCGTTGCATTGACCGAATGATCGGAGAGAGAATCAGGATACTGCGAATCCATAGTGGGAACGTTCTTCTTGGTTTTTGATTTAGTTTTCGACGGTTGTGTGGGAACTTCATTATTCGATTGAGATACAACTTTTTTAGAGGATGTTTTCATCATGGAACTCTTATCGGAATTGTCTGTAGTGGCGGATTCACTGATCAAAGGATCCGGTACTTTAACTGCACGTCGCGTACGACTAGATGACAAACATTCAATACTTGACGGGATCTTTCTATTACGGAGACGCCTTGCGACAGGAGCAACGGTAACAGACTCACGATCCTTAGACGTGTTCGAGCTAAGGGACACCGTACGATGTGAATGCTCAACAAAACCAATTTTTAAAGGTGCAGACTGATCACATGAATTTGGTATATTATCATCAGGAGTTAACCGAGAAGTATATGGGAAAGTTTTCCCTTTCCGAGAATGATTTTCCATCACAGTATTCGGGAACGGAACAACCACTTCAGGGAGTTCTTTAGAGATCCGTTTATCCAGAGACTTTACTATACTCACCGAGCGATCAGACAGAGAATCCATAGTGGAAACTTGCTTCTTAGTTTTTGACTTAGTATTCGACGGTTGTACGGTAACTTCATTAGTCGATTGAGATGCAACTTTTCTGGAAGATTTTTTCGAAATTGAACAATCAGAGCCAGCAGATTTACCGATTGAAGATTCCGCTATTTTAACGAAACGACGCGTACGAATGGAAGAAAACAAATCTACGACATCGCCAGAAACTTTTCTTCTCGAACACTTCGTGACGAGGTTTTTAAAATCACAATCACATTTACATTGAGAGAGCAAAAAATGACACAATTTACAGTGCCTACGAGATAATACACTAACAGCAGACAGTTTCTGTGAACGATAATGTAAGTTAACACTAGGTTCCTCGACAAACAGCTCACTGACACCAGATATACGAGGTGTTTGCACAGACTTCGGAGTTCTCATCAACTTCCTAACACCAGTCAAACCAGATTCCTTCCGTGGAGAAAACAATCTCTTCTCAGGTGTAGTTGCCTCCTCCTCTGTCACATTGGTCGGTGGCACTGATGAAGGTCGTCCACGACGTCTCTTCACACTCGATTCATCGACAAACAGCTCACTGACACCAGATATACGAGGTGTTTGCACCGACTTTGGAGTTCTCATCAACTTCCTAACACCAGTCAAACCAGATTCCTTCCGTGGAGAAAACAATCTCTTCTCAGGTGTAGTTGCCTCCTCCTCTGTCACATTGGTCGGGGGCACTGATGAAGGTCGTCCACGACGTCTCTTCACACTCGATTCATCGACAAACAGCTCACTGACACCAGATATACGAGGTGTTCGCACAGACTTCGGAGTTCTCATCAACTTCCTAACACCAGTCAAACCAGATTCCTTCCGTGGAGAAAACAATCTCTTCTCAGGTGTAGTTGCCTCCTCCTCTGTCACACTGGTCGGTGGCACTGATGAAGGTCGTCCACGACGTCTCTTCACACTCGATTCATCGACAAACAGCTCACTGACACCAGATATTCGAGGTGTTTGCACAGACTTTGGAGTTCTCATCAACTTCCTAACACCAGTCAAACCAGATTCCTTCCGTGGAGAAAACAATCTCCTATCAGGTGTAGTTGCCTCCTCCTCTGTCACATTGGTCGGGGGCACTGATGAAGGTCGTCCACGACGTCTCTTCACACTCGATTCATCGACAAACAGCTCACTGACACCAGATATTCGAGGTGTTTGCACAGACTTCGGAGTTCTCATCAACTTCCTAACACCAGTCAAACCAGATTCCTTCCGTGGAGAAAACAATCTCTTCTCAGGTGTAGTTGCCTCCTCCTCTGTCACACTGGTCGGTGGCACTGATGAAGGTCGTCCACGACGTCTCTTCACACTCGATTCATCGACAAACAGCTCACTGACACCAGATATACGAGGTGTTTGCACAGACTTCGGAGTTCTCATCAACTTCCTAACACCAGTCAAACCAGATTCCTTCCGTGGAGAAAACAATCTCTTCTCAGGTGTAGTTGCCTCCTCCTCTGTCACACTGGTCGGTGGCACTGATGAAGGTCGTCCACGACGTCTCTTCACACTCGATTCATCGACAAACAGCTCACTGACACCAGATATTCGAGGTGTTTGCACAGACTTCGGAGTTCTCATCAACTTCCTAACACCAGTCAAACCAGATTCCTTCCGTGGAGAAAACAATCTCCTATCAGGTGTAGTTGCCTCCTCCTCTGTCACATTGGTCGGGGGCACTGATGAAGGTCGTCCACGACGTCTCTTCACACTCGATTCATCGACAAACAGCTCACTGACACCAGATATACGAGGTGTTTGCACAGACTTCGGAGTTCTCATCAACTTCCTAACACCAGTCAAACCAGATTCCTTCCGTGGAGAAAACAATCTCTTCTCAGGTGTAGTTGCCTCCTCCTCTGTCACACTGGTCGGTGGCACTGATGAAGGTCGTCCACGACGTCTCTTCACACTCGATTCATCGACAAACAGCTCACTGACACCAGATATTCGAGGTGTTTGCACCGACTTTGGAGTTCTCATCAACTTCCTAACACCAGTCAAACCAGATTCCTTCCGTGGAGAAAACAATCTCTTCTCAGGTGTAGTTGCCTCCTCCTCTGTCACACTGGTCGGTGGCACTGAAGAAGGTCGTCCACGACGTCTCTTCACACTCGATTCATCGACAAACAGCTCACTGACACCAGATATACGAGGTGTTTGCACAGACTTCGGAGTTCTCATCAACTTCCTAACACCAGTCAAACCAGATTCCTTCCGTGGAGAAAACAATCTCTTCTCAGGTGTAGTTGCCTCCTCCTCTGTCACACTGGTCGGTGGCACTGATGAAGGTCGTCCACGACGTCTCTTCACACTCGATTCATCGACAAACAGCTCACTGACACCAGATATTCGAGGTGTTTGCACAGACTTCGGAGTTCTCATCAACTTCCTAACACCAGTCAAACCAGATTCCTTCCGTGGAGAAAACAATCTCTTCTCAGGTGTAGTTGCCTCCTCCTCTGTCACACTGGTCGGTGGCACTGATGAAGGTCGTCCACGACGTCTCTTCAAACTCGATTCATCGACAAACAGCTCACTGACACCAGATATTCGAGGTGTTTGCACCGACTTTGGAGTTCTCATCAACTTCCTAACACCAGTCAAACCAGATTCCTTCCGTGGAGAAAACAATCTCCTATCAGGTGTAGTTGCCTCCTCCTCTGTCACATTGGTCGGGGGCACTGATGAAGGTCGTCCACGACGTCTCTTCAAACTCGATTCATCGACAAACAGCTCACTGACACCAGATATTCGAGGTGTTTGCACAGACTTTGGAGTTCTCATCAACTTCCTAACACCAGTCAAACCAGATTCCTTCCGTGGAGAAAACAATCTCTTCTCAGGTGTAGTTGCCTCCTCCTCTGTCACACTGGTCGGTGGCACTGATGAAGGTCGTCCACGACGTCTCTTCACACTCGATTCATCGACAAACAGCTCACTGACACCAGATATACGAGGTGTTTGCACAGACTTCGGAGTTCTCATCAACTTCCTAACACCAGTCAAACCAGATTCCTTCCGTGGAGAAAACAATCTCTTCTCAGGTGTAGTTGCCTCCTCCTCTGTCACACTGGTCGGTGGCACTGATGAAGGTCGTCCACGACGTCTCTTCACACTCGATTCATCGACAAACAGCTCACTGACACCAGATATTCGAGGTGTTTGCACCGACTTTGGAGTTCTCATCAACTTCCTAACACCAGTCAAACCAGATTCCTTCCGTGGAGAAAACAATCTCTTCTCAGGTGTAGTTGCCTCCTCCTCTGTCACGTTGGTAGCTGGCAGTGAAGATGTTCTTTTATTTTGTTTGTATTCCTGTGTAGTATTTAATAGACTATTAGGAACACTGGAGTATGGTTTGTTGTAGTTGTTATTATTGTAAGTTTTTGTACTGTTGGTATGGAAGCTTTGTGACTTATTTTCCTGAATTTTAGGGTTTCGTTCGTTTGCTGATTTGTTTCTTTTATTTTGTTTGGTTGATGCAGGACTAGTTGGTGGGACTCTCGGTGACGGCGTTTTACTTGTTTTTTCTAGGAAACCAAGTGAATGTCTTTTGAAATTTTTTCGGCTGACTGAGGATTTTTTTATTGGAGCAGAGTAAGCTGAGGAAGTTACTGGGAAATTAGTGAAACTTTGATGAGCACAACTGATATCAGTACTTAAGGAATTTAGAAGATTAGTGTCTGGTGTTGGAGGTAGAGAAATGACTGCAGAAACTCGATTATGTGTTACACTATAATTTGGAGATTCACATGTTTTTGAGAAAGCTGATAACTGTGATACTTCTGACAATTTGGAAGCAAATGGTGTAGCTGAGTGCCCAACAACTGAAGTGACTTGTAAACTATGGTTTGCTGGGGTACTGTGACTTAGTTTGACTAGTGGAGTTCCACCTCGCTTAACCGGAGTAGATGGGGGGAGAGATTTATCAAATCGTTCAGGGCTTAAGGGTGGGCCGAATGAAACCCCCCTCCGACGTTTAGGAGCAAGCATGTCGTCTGCAACTTGACAAGTTTTACCGGATATGGTACGTTTTCTATTACGATTAATCAATTCTTGTTCTGTTTCTGGTGAATATGCTTTGCTAATTTTCTGCGATGACTTTGCAGACAATGATTTCCTCGTAATCCTCAGGGAATTCGGTGATGTGAGCAACTCTGGAATATATTCACGGGAACCTTCTGTGGGATGATTAACGCATTTATCGTAATAAGATTGGTTTTCTTGGTCATTAGATGGTGATCTCTTACTTTCAATCACCTGCTGCTTTACATAACTTAGTTCATCATAAAACTGATCAATTTTGCAAAGGTTGGATTGGTTAGATGATTCATTTAGGATGAGCAACTTATGGAAACTCTTTCTAAAACCGGGTGAACGTTTATTTTCGTTTGGTGTGAAGTTGAAGTGATCATTAGATAAGGTAGATGTAATAATCGGAGTGTGAATACGATTTTGTGACCTCATTTTGATAGATGACAAAACACTGCTCGAAGGACGGCATGTTGGAGTTGGCAAGTCAGGAACGACAGATGACTTTGGTTGATTTGATTTAGAAACACTCACATCTGTAGAGCTATAACCTTTAGCATCACCTACATTTTTCTTATTAAACTCGACATTTTCTGCTTGCAATACAGGTAGCTGCTTTGACTGTGATGAATTCGGTTCGTGTCGGAGTACTTGAATTATTGGTGGGGTAGCTGGTTGACGAGGAGGAACTGGACCATAACGTTCGTTGGTCCCTAGAGTCCTCTTCGGAGTCACAGACCTCTGTCGAGGGGAGCGAGTTTTAGGATTAACTAATATCTTTCTGGGAGTGGTACGTTTGGATGGATGAACAACAGGTAGAGAAGTTGGAGTAATAACCTCTTCTTTGTTATAGTGTTTTGGTGTTTTGCTTGACGTTTCGTGTAAATAATTATCTGTTGTCTTTCGACTCTGAAATTAGGGTAAACAAATTGTAATGCACATATTATATTATTATATTAGCAAGAATATTTTTGTTATTATTACTTCTCAAATGAGAGGAAACTTCCATAAAAGCATGTTAACTAGGTGAAAGTTTGTTACTTATGCACATAAACTAAATTTACTTATTTCACAAGGTTGAAAGAGTAACACAAACTTGTTACCAATCAGGCTGCTGTATTTAACAGTTATTTCCACAGGTCATAATGACAGCTAATCAAACTGTCAATTTGTCTGAACCCTGTATCGCAGGATAGGATCCAAATCAATGATGTGGTTGAAAACCACAGCTTACCTAACTAGAAATGTGCTGTTAAATTTTATTTACACGTTTTAGGAATCAACTCTAAAATAAGTTTACGTATTTTGGTGTGCTCATCTGAAAGGTCACTATACTACACTGAAGAGAAACTAATGTGTTTAATCAAAATTAAAAACAAGTGAGCGAATGAATGAAGTATTAAACCAGGTGTATAACTTAGAAAGTTGGAACTACTTGTACAGCTGTGGCATGTTTCTTAATATCACGGAGATCCGTTATTTCAAGGACATTATTCGAGGATTTTACACCATTTTAAGTCTTAAACAGCTTGTGAGTCTACAAGCTATATATTAAATTAAAGTCTATTTAGCCTTTGCTAACCATGTCGTGCTTTTGAAACTGGGAACATTCAACAATCCATAAACTATTACCTGTATTTTTCCAACAAGTATCTTGAAATGTTACTATCCACATAGAACTAGACTAAACAATTACCTCATTCAGGAATTACATTTCGGTATAAGTGAATTACGTCCGAATTCGTTAAGCATAAGTGCATCCGCCAAACCACTGTGAATCATAAATGAGCGGTGAGACCAGAGTAAAAGAGTGATTATATATATATATATATATATATATATATATATATATATATATATATATATCAATTTACTTATTTTATTTACTTAAACGTAAATATTGGTACAAAAGGATATAATATTTAATATGCGCCAAACAGTAAAGAAACGAAATTGTGAAGAGATAGAGGAAAAAAGTCAGCATAATAAAGAAATGATTAGGAATCAGTGTGAGAGAAAAAAGAATGATGGGAGCGATTCAGTTAAGAAAAATGAAACCAGAAAGAACTCTCTCAGTTCAAGTTCCTCTCACACAAAGCGAAAGAAAATTACAACAGGATCGCCACTGGCTTCTGTTCTGAGTCATGTCTGGTAACGACCCTAGCCACAGTATTGCATCTCTAAAGCCCCAACCAGGGAATCGTGAAGGACAAACAGAGGCCAGTCCTATACAGATTTCTTTCATACCACGACACCATGTCGTACATTGACCACCTAAGTCTACTTCCGATCGCATCCGAACTGATGACTTCCGTCATACTTCATAGATTATTCAAAACCCGAGAAAGATTGACTTTCAAAGAGCAGACTGGTTTTCGTTCTGATCGAGGATGTATTGATCATATCTCCACCCTCCGCCAAATGTTAAAACACCGCCAAACTTATCACAGGTCATCAATAGTAATGTCTTGTCTTCGATTCGTTGGATAGGACTGTTCTCTGGGATTGTCTATTGAAAAAGTGTGTCTGAGAAATTTATTAACATCATGAAATCCCTATATACAAACATCTCAGGCAGAGTGAGGGCATACAACCATCTCTCTCCATTGTTACATTCAAGCAGTGGGGTTAGGAAGGTTTGTACAACCTCACCATTCTGCTTCAATTTCGCTATCGATAACGTAGTGGAAACAGCTCTGATGGATGCAGGTAATGGTTGTGTGGATCTGCCGCCTGGAGAAAGACTTGTCGACCTTGAGTATGTGGATGATATTGTCGTACTGTGTGGTGACACCCAAACCATACGATCCGCACTTAATCAGTTGGCAATTAGTGTCCGTAGGTATGTTCTGTGTTTCGCATCTTCGAAGTGCGAAGTACTTTTACAAGACTGGCAGGACCCTGAACCTGCGCTCATCTTGGGTAGTTAGCAGACAGAAGTCGAGAAATTCGTGTATCCGGGTAACTGAGTAAATGCTAGTGGTGGCTTGAATGATGAGAATAATTCACGTATAGTGAAAGCCAGAGCGGTTAATGCCAATCTGGGCTATCCTTGGTTTCTTCGTCGTTAGTCTGGCTGTAAAAGGTCGGATCTACAACGCATCGGTGAGAGCAGATTTGGCATATGCTTGTGAAATCTTGCCTCTCCGAGTCGATGATGTTAGACGACTATGTGATCATCGTTCTCTGCGAAGGATTGCTGACATCCAGTAGCAAAATCATGTTAGTAGTGCAGAAGTTTGGCATTGTGTATCCGAGTACAGCGACGATAACTCAGTTGGTGTCACCATTTTGAAACATCAACTTCGGTGGCTTGAACATACCCTATGAATGTCATCCCAGCGAATTTCACGTTGTGCAGTATTCGGCAACGCTGGGACCGGTTGGAAATAGCGGCTGGTCGTTGTATGAAAGAAAGCTGAATAGGGCTGGGCTCTGTTGATCCTTTACGATTCCCTGGTTTGGGTTCTAAATGTGGTGCAGCCCTGTGGCTAGAGACGTTATCAGACATGACTCGGAATAGAAGTCAGTGGAGATCCTTTTGTATCTTTCTTCATAAAAGTGATTGTAACTTCTTCAACTAAAATTCTTTCTGGTTCTATTTTTGCTATTACTATTATTTCACGTCCACACAATAATTTCTGTTCGTTGTTGTTGTTATTATACGCACTTTACATTATCTCTTTACAAACTCATTGTTATTGTGTGGCGCGTATGCATTTGGTGCCCCTTTGTACCAATGTTTTGTTCAAATCAATAAATCTTTTATCTACTCACCGCCAAGAATGAGTGCATGTCCAGCGTCATGTGAGTCTTGTAACTGTACTTTGCATTTAGAATGTGCAAAGCTCATGCTATACCTATGGACATTATTTGCCAACTGGTTAAGTGAAGTTTTACCACGAATGTAATTAAGGATCTATCATGGGATGGCAGTGGCCTCCTTACACAACTGTATTTGTACACAATTCTTCTTAATTCCTATATTTCATATTTGAATTTTTCCCTTATTAAGTTACATTCTCTTCAGCGCTTGTTAATAAAATAGGTATAAGTTTTGATAAGTTTGTTTCATTTTAAATTGTATTTAGATGAAACAGTACAGTACTTCTGCAAACAACTGTTGTGGACAAAACAAGATCAAGGCACATAACCAACAAAACTCATACCTATTACGTAGATGCGACTACACTTATTTAGCCAAGTCTGTCGTGTTGCACACACCTATTCGCCAATGGCTAGCACACGACCAAGTCGGACGAAGGTGGAAGGACTGTGGGGGTGAGGTGTCGGTAAGTGTGGAGTTTCAGGCTGAGATGTGTGCGATAACCCTGACCCACAGTGGGTCTCGATAACGAATTAAAATATATCAAAGCTGAGTAGATATATCGTTTTCGGCTACCATTACTCTTGTTTTCGAAGTATTTTCTTACTTTTATCCTCTAGATTCACAAGCTTTAGTTTTCGTCACTATTACCGCTTTGATCTCGATTTTCACTATTTCTTGTGTTGTTATTAGGCATAGTGATGGATTGATACGCTGAAGCTATGCCTTATACTAACAGGATATTTAAACTGAAAATTAAACTGTACAGTTGGTTCCACCGCTAAATCCAATGGGATTTGTAGCCAAATTTATCGGGAATTAGTCAAACGGAAACACTTAGGTATGATACAAAACGCATTAAATAATGTTGATTGATGCATTTATGGTAGGACTAATGTCTAACACACAGTGTACATGCACGAGATTTCTCAGTAATCTAGGGCTTTCAAGACCATTTTAGATAGTCGAAAACCTTAGACAAGTCTTTCAAATAACTAAACATGCACCGTTTATGAAAGAGAAGATAAATGAGCCATACCGGAATCAATATCAAATACTTGTAAAGACGGTTCGTCTATAAAACTGCTGTACCAGATGAGTTACTAGTGTATAAATAGTGGCTAGGAAACAACAAATGGGTGGAAACCATCCTATTATCTACGGTAGTAAAAAGGGCATATGATACAAAAATTATTACGAAAATATTAATTTAACTCATTTTTAATCAAACAGACTTACTGATGGATAGAAAAAGCGGAACTGACGATCTCCAACAGTTAGTATGCAATTATCAGTCAAAACGCAAGAATCGTTCAACGGGAAATTATTAACCAACATTTTGTATCGTCCATCTACTCTGCTGACGGCTTGAACTAATCCATCTTTCAGTAGTTGCAGGGTACAATGAAATGGAGCGACTGTTGAGTGTTGCACACGAATGTCACAAGACTGGTTACTGCGAAATGAGGTTGCAAGTAAATATATTATTTACCTCCCAATATCACACAAGGGTGAACACCAATCGCAAGTTAAACCATCAGTACCATCCCTACGGATGACAACTATATGTCCGCTAGGATTCATACGTTTTACACGATTTCCAAATACTCTGATGGATGCAATTGGACTACTACGAATCCGTGACTGAGTCGAATTCAAATTCAGAAATACGGTAATCGACGGCCTCCAGCTAATATCATTTTAAAATAACAAAACACTAAATGGAAAGCTGCTACCAAAGAAAACTTGATATCTTTTCAAAAGAAGATAAGTTTAAGTAATCAATATTCACATGCCAAAATTAACACAATATCGTTTGTGAGGATTATATATCAATTCAGTAATTCAAGCTGCTTCAATTGTCAATATCTTTCAATTGAGCTAATGTGTGCTATTTATTCATCTTTCTGATTGTACCATTATTTTGTGCCATCCTTCTTTGCTTTGAGCATCAGTTCCATCCCATGTAATTTAAGGACGTATCGGTGATTAGTTCCAAGATAATGCGGTTGCAGAATCGAATATGGTGATGTCACTAGACAGCTATTACACTAATCAAATGCAGTCAAGACATATGAAGGAGTGCACACAAAAGTTACACATGTAGTGGAGAAATAACGTCAATCAAAACAATGAGATGGTGTTTCATGTGTACTTTACGACCCGGTGTTGTAACACAAATAACCACCTTAATGGGTTCTTTCGAGTTTGATGATTGTTTCCTGATAGTTTTTGGGACGAACCAAAGGTTTTCAAGTCTGAATGTGACTTCTTAAGATATCCTATATCACTGAACTTGTAGAACCTAGGTCTAGAATGGGTACTCGTGCACTTACCCATCGCAATAGGATATAGATCTAGCTTAGCGTGACGTGCCTGCTTAGTAAACAACATCGTACATAGAAGTCATATAGTTGTCTGTACTGACATGTCAGCAACATTTGTAATAATATTTGAAAAAAACTTTTTGGCTGGAAATAGAATAATACACTTGATACAATGACCTCGATGTTACACAGAGTGACTGAGCCTGTGTGAGCAAGCCATGCTGTCACGATTAAGTGCTCCACGTTCACCTTCCTCGAATTTCTCTAATTGTTCATGGGCTTTTATTAATCTTCTCAGTCACTGAATATTCAGATTTAAGAATCATGTAATTAGGGACTAATATAACCACTGTCTTTCCTGAAATTATGATTAACATCCACTTTTGTAGTGGCAAACGTGTTAGTAACTGCCTTACCCAGCTCAAACTCCGTCTAACAGCGAAATTATTGTTCATAGATAACTGCGGCCACGAATTCGACCGCAGAAATTTCAGAATTTTAAGTCGACTTGTTTCTGTGGATAGTAGAGTATTTTGGAAGGTTTGACATCTGAATCAATTGGCAAATTATTATGCATTAAATCATTATGTTTCAAATTGATTAGCCATTAAAAAGTGGTGAACGAGACATATAGTTGGATTTTGACCAAAATAGAAAATCAATAAGGATGAGAGGGCAAAGAATGGTAATAAAACCTAAGGAGACAGATAGTCGCAAACAATGGAGTCAACAAAATTGACCCACCGCTTGTGGACCGAGCAAAAAGCCTACTCAAATATGATACATGGCCCGATTCTCGCGTTGAGAACAGAAATGAAGGCTCCGGAATTAAATCATTTAGTTTCAACAAAGCTAAGATCACTGAAAGGATCCTCTTGTGTTGCAGATTTTCCATATCATCTCAAAACGGTTCACGTTCCTTTTAATGATTCGTAAAAATGCCCTTAATGTAGAAAGCTTAACCTGAGCATGTGGAACGTTTTGACCGCACCATTTGTGGTGAATGATCAGTACACTTACTATGCAGTCAAATATTTTATTTTGTGTTTTAATATGTTATAACGACATATTGCGATCTCACACTATGTACCCCTATTTTCGGTTGTTGATCGTGTCTCATCGAATTTCTGTACTTATTGGGATTAGGAGTACTTCATTGAATTATTTCAAATTCACATCTAGCGTCGCGACATGAATGGACTCAAATTACTCGGGAAAATCGCCGATCATCGCGTGATCGTTGAAGATGAGAAATTTTTTAGAATATCTTGTTACCCAGCGTCAGCCATATAACTTCAGGGAAGACAGAATTTCAGTTCATTTTACGACTGCTATTGGTAGAGAAACATGAAGTTTGTCAAAAAATCAAACATTTTCTGATAATTCAGTTCTACTTTCTTCCAGAAAGCTAAAGAGATCGCCACATGTTCGTTCTGAAACTCTTGAAAGAGCACACATCAACGAAGCAGTCCGAATCCCTCGTCGAACTATGAAAAATTTCACGTTTTGGCTCCAGTCATAAGCTTCTGAGTTGGATTTTGGTGAACAGCTGCATATACAACGCCACGATCTACTGACTGCAGTCATAAATTGCATTAAACTAAGAAACCAGCTTAAACAAATTCTTTCCTGAACCTTTCAGATAGCTAAATATTTCTGTTTTACCTTTGTGTTTGTTAATAGTGACCCTTTTGATGCTGGTACGCAACAAAATGGTGTCTTATTATCAAATATGAAATAAACCTCCAGTTTCTTTAAACAGTAGTCGTTTCAATTCATTTAGACAAGCGAATAACTCGGAAAGCGTTTTTAATTCGACTTTTGGCATTAAATCCTGTCTTTCATGTGGTAAATTACATCTTCATAATTCATGTCAATATCGTTCTGCATGTACCCGTAAATGTTGAATAGTTTGACATATATAAAAATTTTGTAAATGTTCTAAATCATTTTCTATTAAGACGTTGAATAGTTTTAAGTAGAAATCAATTGATTTAGACATAAGTGTGGATTCGTTGTCGCTCACTATCGCAATGTGGCCACCAGTCTAGGTGACTCGACACTTCGGGCAACATGATCGATAGCATTCGATCTGCACTAATAATAAGGACTAGACACGCATGACATTGGTCACCCAGTGATCAACCAATTGTGATTACATCTCAGTCCTACAGGAGGTCGGTCGCGACCCGGATAGCTCAGTGGTAACGTCTTTGATTGTGAAGCTGGGTGACACGGGATCGAATCTGTCAGGGAGCACCAGTTTCCTTAAGATTACAGATACACCTTACTGACGAGTGTCAAGTAGCACGAAACCCTTGTCCAGGGTTTCCTGTCGACTACCTCCAACCACCATATAATATTTACTTGCACAACAAACATCCTTCAAAGTTATTTAGGCGCTTTTGTGGTGCAAGTGTGGCCGTAAATCTATCCGTGTCATTTTCAACCTAATTATATCAAGTGTCTAGGTCATACCAAAGTGTATACTGAAGCTTACTTGGCGACCTGATTGAATATCCGGGCTAATTGTTCGTCCCATCCAGATATTTCAACAAGTTGTCCTTTTTATTATTTTATTTTGATACATTATTATGTCTTTTGATCTCATATATTGCTCATGTGCGTATATGAAACATTCACGACCTAGCACTTTACAAGGTACAAAAAGGCAGTCAGAGACATCGTGGTGGCTGGTAATATGCATTGAAAAGACTAAACATTATTCAGATGTCGATTCATAAACTACTAATTTCTAACTGCCTGTCACTGATTGGCAAGATGGATCATCTTCAACTCCTACTAAATCAAAATATGTATCGTAACTGAGGTGTGATCATAATTCAAGAATCTTGGATGAATTACTTACAGGGCGATTGCTCAGTATCACCACAAGGTTTCAATATTTATCATCACGATCGATCAGGAAACAGGACAAGGTGTAGTCGGGTGTATCTACATTTGTAAACGTGAATTGTATCGATATACTTTTGTATGATTCATGTTTTCAGACCTTGTCGACTGTTTAACATTAAGATGTCGTGTAAAACACTTTAATAAGTACAATCAAGTTTATGTTACCAACATCTACATAACTCCGGACTGCACGTCGTCTGCAGTATATGTTTTCGCTGATTAAATCACTGAATTTGCCGTTACTGCCTTCAGCAGTCTACTTCTAACTGTATGTGGTGATTTTAATTCATGCGACTGTAACATTTTTCATCACTGTGTCTCCAAAATGTAAAATTTTCGACTGTTTTGTATGCCCATTTGAATTTAGTTTGCATCAATAATTTGGGAATATATGTGACTAGTAAACGTGCTTCAGTTTTTAGTTCTGATCACTTTACTTTCGTGTTCTACTAAAAGTATGTGACAAGCTTTCAAAGAAGGTCAAATACAACAGTTACTCATAAAAGAGTATCCGAAATTCAAAAAACATGTTTCGTACTACTAACTGTAGATTATTTACAGATGGCTCACCAGAAAACGTCGTCCATGTTATCACTTGTTATCTTAAATTCTGTTTTGATATTTGCAGTCCCACTAGTACAATTTTTTAGGTTTCGATCAGCTTACATCTGCACAACCAATACGATTACGGAGGGTAAGAGAAAGAATGTACCAGGAGAAAAACTCCATTGAACTTCGAAAAGTAAAATGTCTAATAAACTTAGAGATTAGACGTCTGAACTGGATGTTTACCCAGAAACTCTTACCTTGTGAGGACTCGTCAAGCATGTGGAAGTTACTTGTAGAACTTACGGGGGAAATACGGTCTCGTGCCGGTAGAAACCACTAGTTCTACTGATAAAAAAGACCAGACTAGTGGTGAGTAGGTCGTTATTTAGTTTGTGGATGACCCAGTGGGGCACGTGGTTATGTTTTCAAACACAAAATGCTTTCCAACGTTCAATGTCAAATAATAGGAAGTATTATTCTCATACAAAATAAGGAGGTGAATGAATAATTGAACTGTGGTGTTTTGACATTTACTTAGATGTTTGCCGTCAACTCTTAACCACTCAGCCTAACTAGTTACAACACATAAGAAGCGACAACTGGCTGAATGTTTGCGATTTACATAAGGCTTTTATACGTCAGCCATCTGATATCATGCTCCGTATAACCACAGGTTTGAAGACTAACTGTGATCCCATTTTCACGGAAACTGATGTCGAAAAACGGGTCTAGTGACTTAATTTATCCCAATTTCAGGACCTGATGAAATCCCAGGCCTTTTTAAGAGGTGCG